GCCATCCAACCGGCGCTCCAGAGCGGCGATTGCATTGAGGATCTGGGCTGCATCTGAAGCGAGGGGGGCTGGAAGAGGATGAGCGAAGACAAAGAAAATCTACAGCGCGATGGACCTGGTGTTGCGGGAGCCGCGGCAGCGGTGGGACCAGGAACAGACATGTCTAGCAGAGGGTTTATCGAGCTGTTTGCTTGAAGACCTTTCAAGAGAACCGACGAAGCTAGTGAGCCACGGCTTGCAGCGAAGGAAGAAGACCGACAAGAAAGGGGCGATTGAGTCATTGATGCAGGCGAGCATCGCCACATTGCTCCTTTGTTCCGCTCATCCTTCACCCTCCCCCGAAAATTGCCCGAAAGTACTCGAAGGCGGCGCGGGTGGCAGGGACCTGAAACCCCTGCTACGGGCTGCACGAGTGGCTGGTTTTGGGAAGTATGTGCGCGAAACTCTTGCAGGCTTCCAAAGTTCAACGTTCAGCCACGACTCTTATTTCTGCTCTTCCTTCCGCCACAAATTTGCTCTGCCCTCCCAATATTCACGCGCACATGGAGCGACCGATCCTATTCGGTTCCGAGCCCTTGTATGAATTCATCCGGAGCGTAGCCTCGCCTTGCTTTCGAAGTATGATATCCAATAGAGTCAACCTGAACCCATTCACCCAATAAATTTCGTGCATTGGAATAACGAATCTCTAGACATCCCTACGCCGTCGACGACCATCGGCAGGTTGTCTGAGATGATATCGTCCCTTTGGTTCAGAGGAAGCTGGGTGTTCGACTCCGCATAGAACGGGGGTCCACGTTTCTTTTGCCTATCCTACCTGTTTGCATTTCCATGACGCAATTAGGAACATACACTGGTCGCACGTCCATATTTAGCAGGCATTAGCGCTGTCCAATCTCTCCGACTCCTTTCATATTCCTCTCTCGCTTACTCGGGTCAAGTCAGCCGTCGTCGACCACCACCGACTCTCCTTACTGCCAGGGGAACCGGGCCCACACAAGGTTCCGATCGCAACCCGTTTTTTGCTTGTAGATCCCCGCTCAACTGCATTCATATGCTACCCTGACGAATGCGGATAGTGTGCCATAAATACATATGTAGATAGGAGGTCGCTGCATCTCTCTCACCACATGGCCTATCCTGGTCCAAGAATTGCTGGACACCGCACACGCGCCTGTTCCAATTATTTTTGTGCTTAACCAGGCGCAAATAGCAGATAAGAGGATCTAAGCCGTCGGAGAGCAGTGGCAGCGATTCGAACACCTCAGTAGCACAGAACTGGGGGAGACGGGGGTTCGAATCCCCCCGACGGCATGCAGAAAGTAGTTTACATCTTTTTAGATCGAATTTCAACTTCGGTTTATTCGTTTCCAACATTCAACGAATCTGGCATGTGAGTTCTCCATTATCTGGCTCGTCGGATATTAAGCCCTCGCAGGCATCTCGCTAATTCCGGGCATTAATTTATCGCGCTACTAGATAGATATCCTCAAGCCGAGTGGCAGGTCGCCTTCAGACCTTGCAGGATTTAAATTGCCATGCATACGAAGGAGCCGGGTTCGACTCCCCCGATGGCATTGGGCTCGTGGAAATGAAATTGGTTTTTTATTACTCAACTGGATGAGCCGATAGTGTAATACTCAGGTAGGCTCCGTCGAAACCCCACAAAGCCGGATCCAGTCCCACTATTCAGGGGATTGAACCGCTCAGTTTAGACTGTGAGGTCTCCGTTCTCTGCGCCCTTGACACTCACTGAGCCCATCTCTCAATCATTCAAATGGATTAATGCGCCCTGAGGTCCCCACAAGCCGTCGTCGACCAGCGGCAGGTCACCTTCACAGCTTAGGCGTTGAGGAATTTCAGAAGGAGCTGGGGGTTCGACTCCCCCCGATGGCATACGGTTTTTCGATCGCTTTTCTTTTCTTTCCCAGTTTCAGTCCTCGCAGCATTGAACCGAGTTAAACGTTTTCTCTGTACGCCCGAGTCAATCAGGCCTCGCTTTGAAACTAACTGTGAACCCCGGAAACAATAAACTCCATTCACCACGCTGCGGGCTCCAATCGAGGTTGAATATACACAGTTAAGTTACAGTCCGTGCAGCTCATTCCTTTATACTAGTATGCAATAATTCTAGGCACTTCAATTCCAACGACATCCACCGACCCACGCAAACTAAACGTGAATCTTCTCCTTGAGCTTCGCGACGAGGCGCGAGCGGCGGCCTTTGCCCTTTCCGTTCCCCTCCCCGTTCTCCCCGGCATTGTCCGCTGCTTCATTGTCCGCGTCCGCACCCACATGCTCCTCCTCGCCCTCGCCCCCCTCCGCGATCGCTCTCGCGGCGGGGCCAGCGGGGACGTGCAGCCCGTACGCCGTGAAGACCGCCGCGTCCCCCGGCGCTTCGGGGCGCGCGGGGACAGCCTCCTCGCGTCCAAGGACGCCGTACTGGGGGTCCGAGAACGCCGCGCGCTGCGCTGCTTCGTCCGTCTGCTGGCGTAAATGCCCGATGGCGTTCAGCTCCACCTCAGACGCGCGCGCCGCCGCCGCCTCCTCTTCCTCCGGCTTCGCTTTCGCCGGTTCGTGCAGCCCGTCCGCGATGGGAAAGTACGCGACCACCTCCGGCGGGCTGACGGGCGGGATTGGCGTGAACGGCGCGCCGGCGGGGAGGCCTGGCGGGAGGAGGGCCGCGATGGCCGACTTGTCTGAGGGCGCGACGGAGGCGTTCGATGCGGGCGACGCTGGTGTCGAGGCGAGCGGTGCATAGCCCACGGGGTCGGGGGAGTAGATGGAGGACGACGCAGAGCCCGCGGCGCCGAATGCGTGGCTGTGGAACGAGGACGAGCGGGGCACGAATGGCGGGCGCACGGTGCTGCTGAAATCTCCCGGGGTGAGGTTGCGAGCAGGCGAGGGCGAGGGCGGTGCGATGGCGGTGTCGGAGGCAGAGTCCCCTGTGTGCACCGTGGTGCTGAGGTCCGTGGTTTCGCTGGCGGGGGACGGGATCGGTGACTCTTCGCGTATCTCGCGCTCCGGGGCGGCGGAATCAACAGCTTCACCTGATGGGGAAGCTCGGAGTTCGAACCGCGCTCATGAAGAGGAGTTAAGTGGAGCAGACGCACCACCGAAATACCCCGCGACGTGAGAGGGGACGTATAACTTCGCCGCCTGCCCCACGCTAGCCAGCGCGCTCTGCTCCGCCTCTGCGGGGAGGTAAGATTCACCTCGGGCCTCGCCCATGCCGTGGGGGTCCTCGGGGAATGCCCCAGGCATCGAAGGGTCGGGCGTCTTCACCGCCCTCCCGTCCGCGTAGGCGAGCACGTCGTTCGTGTTTTCAGTCGCGGGCGTCGATGGGAGTGCCGTGGACTCGATTGTCGGGACGAGGTTCACCGCGGCCATGTGCGAATAGTTGAAAGCGAGATTGGGTTGGAGAGGTCTGCAGGTGGAGAGTGAGAAAAATGAGACAGGAGAAATGCAAACACGATGACGTACTGGGGGAAAAGTGAAGACAGGGGGTGGCAGTGACTACTGCCGATCCATTAATCTCTGGCCCAAGTTCAACCGGGGCGATCAGCTCATAAGTAGAGCAGACGCGCCCCAGGGCGCTACCAGGTTCTGAATTTCCGTGGGGTATAGCGGGGGTTCAGGACATGTTTCAACAGAAACGTGGGTAGTGCAGGTCGTACACCCGACGCTATTCAGTGAGGCGTAGGTTCGACTCCTACCGATCGTGTTTAGGACAGCCCTCTTCTTGCCTTCCCTTATTTTCTCAGCGGTGCGGTCCTTACAGGCAGATTGAGGCAAGGCGCTGAATCGATCTGCTATAATAGAGAATTTGCGCACGCCCCGGCTTTTGCCAGCGCAAACGAACGGCTCCACCGCCAAAATACGATATGACGTCAACGGCTTGTGGAGCCATTCGCCTGCACGGCCCAAACGCCTCTGCGCAAACTGGTTAATCTGTACTAAAGGGGTTAAACCCAGCCATCGTATATCAGTGGCAGATCCCCTTCACGCCGTAGGTTGTCTGACAATTAGAACGTCTGCACGAAGGAGGCGTAGGTTCGATCCCTACCGATGGCATATTTGGCCTTGATGGGAGGTTTTTTCCTTGTTTTGTCGGCGGTGCGATCGCCCGCTCAAGGTTCTAGCCCGCTCGCCCATAATCTGCACTAAGAGGATTGAAACCAGCCATCGTATATCAGTGGCAGATTCCCTTCACGCTGTGGCGATAGTACCGGGAAGTCTGCATGAAGGAGGCGTAGGTTCGATTCCTACCGATGGCATAGTTGACCTTTATGCTGGGGTTTTTTTTCCTTCAAATTGTTTGGTAGGCGGCGCGCTCGCCCACTCAAGGTTCTAACTCGTTATCCCATAATCTGCACTAAGAGGGTTGAAACCAGCCATCGTATATCAGTGGCAGATTCCCTTCACGCTGTGTGGCAATAGTACCGGGAAGTTTGCATGAAGGGGGCGTAGGTTCGATTCCTACCGATGGCATAGTTGACCTTGATGGGTTTTTCCTTGTTTTGTCGGCGGTGCGCTCGCCCACTCAAGGTTCTAACTCGTTAGCCCATAATCTGCACTAAGAGGGTTGAAAGCAACCATCGTAGATCAGTGGCAGATTCCCTTCACGCTGTGGCAATAGTACCGGGAAGTTTGCACGAAGGAGGCGTAGGTTCGATTCCTACCGATGGCATAGTTGACCTTTATGGGAGGTTTTTTTTCTTTGTTTTGTCGGCGGTGCGCTCGCCCACTCAAGGTTCTAACTCGCTAGCCCATAATCTGCACTAAGAGGGATGAAACCAACCATCGTATATCAGTGGCAGATTCCCTTCACGCTGTGGCGATAGTAACAAGTTTGCATGAAGGAGGCGTAGGTTCGATTCCTACCGATGGCATAGTTGACCTTTATGCTGGGCTTTTTTCCTTGTTTTGTCGACGGTGCGCTCGCCCACTCAAGGTTCTAACCCGGTCGCCCATAATCTGCACTAAGAGCTCTGAAACCAGCCATCGTATATCAGTGGCAGAATCCCTTCACGCCGTCAGGTTGTCTGACAATTCGAACATCTGCACGAAGGATGCGTAGGTTCGACTCCTACCGATGGTATAACTAGAGTCATTGACATTTTTGGTTTAGTTGGCCGTGCGGTCGCCCACTCAAGGTTCTAGCCCGCTCGCCCATAATCTGCACTAAGAGCTCTGAAAGCAACCATCGTATATCAGTGGCAGATTCCCTTCACGCTGTGGCGTTAGTACCGGGAAGTCTGCATGAAGGGGCCGTGGGTTCGATTCCTACCGATGGTTTCAGCCAAATTGGGTTGCTTTTTAAATTTTCTCTGAGGTGGCGCTCGACGTTGAACCCTGACTGTCCACTGAGGATCGAGGTGCAAGACCGCACATACAAGTTCAGCAAACGAGGCACGAAGTATGTTTTGATGGCGCGCCACTAGTCCGACTGGCATACCTCCATGACTCGCCCTATTGACCCAACCTTCCCTTCTTGCCTCTGTGCCTAGCTTAATTGTACAGAAAGAGCTGGGGTGAGAGTCCGCCCGACAGTGTTCCAGCCCACTTGGTTATTCCGTTGGACAGCCAGTTGCCACCGCACGGACTCCCGCTCACGCCTTCGCACCGAGCCCCGAATTTCAAGGACGTACTGTGCTACATCTTAGAGGTTCCAAGCCGTCGTCGACCACTGGCAGGTCCCCTCCGCTGCATGCACAAGTGAATGTAGCATCAACTGGAGGACTCGGGGGTTCGACTCCCCCTGACGGTATTGGTCCGCATCGGAAAGTTTTTTGCCTCAATGTGATTCATCTAGTCCCACGCGAGCCCGTGGATAATGCGACATAATGTATAACATATCTCGTACTCAGTGCTCCACCAGCGCTACGCTACCCTTCACTGCGCGCGTCTTACTGATCTCTAACAATAGACGAATGCACCTACAAGCCGTCATCGACCAGTGGTAGGTCACCTTCACACAGTTAGATAGCTTGCTACTGTGTAAAAAGGAGCCGGGGGTTCGACTCCCTCCGACGGCATTGTAGTTCAATTGATTCGATCTTTTTGCGTCGAATTTCAACGAGGCGGCTACTCGCCTACGACAGTCAACCTACTCAACCTATTCAGCCACATTTTGAACCCATCACTGCACGCATCTCGCTAATTTTGACAATTAATTAATGTGTCTCCATACCCACAAGCCGTCGTCGACCAATGGTTGGTTCGAGGAGTTCCTCCACAGGTGTAAGAAGGAGTTAGGGCTCGACTCCCACCGACGGCTTCTTCCGCTCATTAGCTTACGATGTTTATAAATTTTACGAACGACTTTCTCTAGAATCTGATTCAGACCTTCGCACGAACTCTGGACCAGCCGAAATTCAGCACAGTGACCGCATGGATTACCGCTCACGAACTCATTCCAGGGACTACATTAATATTGTAGATGGCCCAAGCCGTCGTACAAGTCACCTCCTCTGTGTCTGTTTCGGGATAACAGGGGTTCAAGTCCCTCCGACGACATGTGCACTCGTTGCGAATCTTTTTCTCCCTGGGTTCGGTATTTCTTCCCGACGCGCACATGGGCGGTGCCAGTCCTCTCGCATACGACTCTCGGCCACAGCTTCCTGCTGAAATTAATCTCGACGCTTTCGCCTAAACCCAGGATGGCCTGTCCCACTACCTCAGGTAAAATTGAGAAGGTACAAGCCGTCGTCGACCAGTGGCAGGTCCCCTCCCATACATGTTCGGGCCATATCCATATATATGTTTGGAGGAACCGGGGGTTCGATTCCCCCCGACGGCATAGGATGGCGCGTTTTTCGTTTTTGTCGGCCCACCGTACGCCGGTCGCCCTAAATTGTTCACGGTTAAGCAGGCACAATTTAGAGGATATAAGCCGTTGTCGACCAGCGGCAGCTCGCCTTCACGCATTACAAGAAAAGAATCGTATCAGAAGGAGCTGGGGGTTCGACTCCCCTTGACGGCATGTGGCAGTACTCCGAAGTTTTTTTAACTAGTAGATCCCCGTCAACTATCTCTCAATCCATCCTGAGCTACCCGAACGAACGCAAATAATGAGCCATGAATATACACATACGAGGTGACTGCATCCGAGTCCAATATCATTCCCTCAAGCCTTAGTTGTACACAGCCCACCCACCCCAATTTATTTAATTCGCGCATTTCCTCAGGCGCAATTCAGAGCTTTCGAGCCGTCGTAGACCAGTGGCAGGTCACCTCCAACAACTAGAAGTTCACCATCGCCTCATATAAACCGGAGGAACCGGGGGTTCGATTCCCCACGACGGCGTGTTGTCTTTCCCACACTTTTTTTTTTTCCAGGAGTAAATCGCCGCATCGAATTCGAATTCGAAGCAGCTGTATGCCCTTCGCCAACAAAATGAACAGCGGTAACGCGGTTTAGCGACCAAGGAATGCATTTATTCAAGTTGCACCTCAACCACGCACACTCATGCGCCTGACGAATTACTCGCCCGTTTCAAATTTCTCGCATGTACCCAGGTACAGTTCAGAGCGTCCAAGCCGTCGTTGACCAGGGGCTCCCCTCCGCCGCTTGCACAGTGTATCGAGCATGAACTTGAGGAACCGGGGGGTTCGATTCCCTCCGGCGGCATGCCCAAGGTCTCTCCGCCACATTTTTCTTTCCAGGAGTAAATCACCGCTTCTGAATCGTATCACCTCCGCCGAAAGAACTAATGGCGGTAACACGATGTAGCTATGAAGGAATGCATTCAAGTTGCAGCTCAATACCACCTAAACCAGTGCGCGCTTTAACTCGTTTGTTGTACCGCTTCATCAAAGTACTCGCATTCCCCCAGGCGCAATTCAGAGCGCCCAAGCCGTCTTCGACCAGTGGCACGTCACCTCCGCGAATTGCTGCCAGGCACAAATACACTCGAGGAACCGGCATGCTTCCCCTTTGACTCCTTTTTGCCTTTTTCGGGAGTACATGAATCGCCGCGTCGAATTAGAATCACCTCCGCTGAGAGAACGAACAAGATAGAACTTGGTCTTGAGGGGCCACTGCTCCGCATGGCATTCACGGCGGTGGCCGTTTCGATTTACCGTGAGAAATAGAGGCATGAAAAACCTATATGGGGTCCTCCGGATTTTACCCCCGAATTTTACCCAGATGTAAAATTGAGCACACTTTTTCTGGCTCGAAATGGAACCATTTTTCCGGGTGAAAAATTGAGTCTGGCGGGTGGGAATTTTTGTTGGGCGGAGGGGGGAATTTTCCTTGGAGAAAAATGGTTCCATTTCCAACCGGAAAAGGCGTGCCCAATTTTACATTGGGTAAAATTCTAGGTAAAATCAGGGGCAAAACCCGGAGGACCCCATATAGGTTTTTCTTGCCCCCTTTACTCGGGGTAAATCAAAACGGCCACCGCAGTGATTACGAGTTCTTGGAGGGGAGTCCGTAGTACTAGGGCCCTGGATATAATTTCCAGTGATTCAAAACGTGTATTGAATACTGTTTGATAAACAGGCCGTTTATAAACCACTCGCCACACCGCTCTTCGAGTAGCTTAGCCAAAGATCTCTCATCTTCATCAGGTTTGTAAGTGTCTCTACCTCATTTCTTGGGTCCAATAATTGTGGAGGGAAGAAAATCTGATATCCCAGTTCTCGCCGTCCCAATGCGACATGCACAATGATTCAGCTACTTAGGACTTATAGATAAGAGATTTGTATAACTACAAGCCTGCCTCACCAATACTATCATTGAACCACCTCTGCAGAACGACCCACCTCGGCATAAATTGGATCCGGTGACCTCAGTTTGAACCCAATGGGCCCAAAATAAAATTGGGAGATGGATATAGGGTACAGTTTGGTCCGAGTCCAGCTCTAGAGCATCAGGGCAGCATTGAAGCCCAGCAGAAAATCGATAGTCGAATTTTGCACGGTTTGATCAATTTTGATTGCCCGCAAATTCTCAATCATAGGTAAAAGTAGGTCACTGTCTCGGCAGCCTCGCTGTGACCTCAATTTTGCCTCAAAAATTAAGATGTCTCAGATTCGACATCTTTGTATGTTAGCCACTGTGCACCATGCAATTCGCAGCAATTGCCGACTCTCCGGCAAGACGTGCATACACCTAGGACCCATCAAAATCTTTCTGCAGAGGTGGCCAAAGATAGTATATTTAGTCTGTTCTTTAGTTGCAAACCCCCCATCATTAGATCTTCCCATACAGGCGGGTACCGAGCTGACTTCCAGATGCGGATTCATGAAGTAAGTCACATATTGATAATCACTAGTGTCACATTAAATATTCCTTTCATTCAAAGCGGCCTTGACGACCAAACTCGGAACGGCCACCCATGGCATCCACCCCACAGTGGGCACCCAGCAAGACCCCAGACGAATGGGGTGCCGAACCTTCAGCTCGGGACCTCGTCGTTCCCTCGTATCGGCTCCCTAAGGAGACCGTAGACGGCTTCTGGAAACGAGTGGCGCAGCTAACTGCGCGTACTCAGTTCAAACAGGAGCGTATAGCGTCCACGGAGCTGCGGGATTGGAATACCAGGCATCTAATGGTGAGCACTTGGCTCGTTATAGGTGAGCGGACTCTCTGACACGCACACATACGGAGCTAGCCCTGCAACAACTGTCTCCACAGCAAAAAGAAGCATATTTGCTCTGTAGACTGGGATCATTTCAGCTGTCGTACCTGTAGGACGCTGAGGATAAACTGCGACAGAAAAGCGCAGTTTATATTCGACGCAACCAAGGAGCATTTCTTTAGCTCATTCGACCAATTCATCGCCGTCTACATGTGCAAGCAGCCCGGGAAAATGAGGAATGCTAAGATGACTGAAAACAGAAAACGCAAGCGGAATATGAGCTCGCATGCGGAGACCTCGAAAGGCCAGTCGCCAGGCATCCTGCTTCGGCACTCCTAACGTACCAAATCAAGGGATGACCACCGTTTTTCTGACTGATGGGGCGGTCAACATGTGCCGCGAGTGTCTAAGGGCATTTGAGTACGATCCGCCCCTCGATCAGTTTGCATTCAGTCCTGAACATCCGCAAGAAGACGGCGACAGACTCCAGAAACGTAAAGGTGCACACCCCGGTACCACTGATGGACCGTGACTCCATGACTCACTCTCGTATCCGCCGCAGCTGCTGTGGAGAACCACCAGAACGAGGCCGCATACAGGTGTACTGCACCAACCTGCGAGTGGTAGGTCTGCGTACATCCACATCGTCGATCGCATACCAACCTGAGAACAGGCCAATGCACATAGCACTTCGACACTCGGCCTCCTGAAATAACGGTCGACCGGCTTGCTGATACGCCGGAGAGCCCGAAAGAGTCATAATTGCGCAGAAGTTGAGGAAGGAATCCACTGCGTCATGGCCAAAAACGACGCGAGTTGGGCGGGGACGGGATGGCAAAATTTTAGACTCATAATTAACGCCGGTGTAACTACGAAGAATTGCGGCACTGCACACGTTCGAGTGTCGTTTTCTTTCTTCGTCAAATTTTCTCATAATCACTTCAAATAAATTGCCAACCACTCCTGAGACTAGTTACTCAATGTTGAGCTGATTCCAAGTCTAAACCACTCCAACCCCGCGCACCAACTCGTTTTGCACCGCTTCACATTCCGCGCATTTACCCAGGCGCAATTCAGAGCGTCCAAGCCATCGTCGACCAGTGGCAGGTCACCTCCGTGAGTTGTGAGACCCAAATACACTGGAGGAACCGGGGTTCGACTCCCGTGACGGTATAACGCGGTCTTCCGCAACTTTTTATTTCATTTACTTGTAGTCCCCGTCGAGGATCTTTCAATCCATCGCGAGCTATCCTACCGAACGCAGATAATGGGCCATAAATATCCACATACGAAATCGTTGCATATCATTTCCTTTCAAACCCGCGCACGATAAATTGATTTTTTTTGTTCGCCACCTGCCTCCAAGGGGCTTCCGAAATGCGGATTTTTTATATGAGGTCCCATTCTGACCCAATTTTCAATGGGGATTCCGAAAATTGTGGTCCCGAAGTCAATGGTTCCGTGATCGTCGAGTTAGAGACCAAAACTTTATTACTGCATTTGGAGGGGGGGCGGGGGGTACAGCCACTCGGCAGAGAGAAAATCATCACGTGTATTGATCTCGGCGGAAAGTGCCGACAAGTCTTATGAATGTAAACATATATTGTCACTGTGGAAAACCACCCAAAGAGTGTTTAAAGGACATAGCTACCAAAATTGTGGACTCTGGTACGTCTTTCGCTAGGAAATGCTAAGCGGAGCCCACGTGCTGCTTACAAATCGCTTACAAATCACTTACGTAGGAGCGGGGGGGGATACCCCGACCCTCTGAGAAGAAAAAACCGACCCCTGGTGCATTTTTCGGGTTTTCAAACCCTCTTGCCTGCCTCCCAAATTTCGCGCATTTGCCCAGGCCCAATTCAAAGCGTGCAAGCCGTCGTCGACCAGCGGCAGGTCACCTCCGCTGTTTAAGGAATGATGTCTGTGAACGGGAGGAACCGGGGGTTCGATTTAGAGGTACGAGCTTCAAGTTGAAGCGTCTGTCTACGAGAGACTAGGTTCGATTCCCTCCGGCGGCATGCTTCGCCTTTGGCACATTTTTCTTTTATAGCCGCGGCGAAATCGAATCGCCTCCGCCGAGAGAACTCACTCGATGGAATGCGTCCGAGTTGCCGCTTAATACAACCCAAACCCCCACGCGGATTTACTTCTGGCTGCACCGCTTCAAAGTACTCGCATTTCCCGACGCACAATTGAGAGCTTTCAAGCCGTCGTCGACCAGCGGCAGGTCACCTCCGTGAGTTGCGAGACCCACCATGACAAATACACTGGAGGAGCGGGGGTTCGATTCCACCCGACCGTATATATGTACATGCTTTCTCTCCGAAGCATTTTTCTTTTCAGTCGTAACTCACGGCATCGAATTCGAAAGTCGAAACAACTACTGGTGTGCCTCCTCACCAACAGAATGCATTTCATACCGCGTGACCGCCGCTCATTCAAGTTGTCGCTCAATACCAAAAACCCGCGCGCACAATGAATTACTAATTTGCCCGCTTCAAATTCCTCGCATTTATCCAGGCCCAATTCAGAGCGTGCAAGCCGTCGTCGACCAGTGGCAGGTCACCTTCACGCATTTCCAGATAGAATTTGCGTCAGAAGGAGCTCGGGGGTTCGACTCCCCCCGACGGCATACACATGCTTTCTCTCCGAAGCATTTTTCTTTTCAGTCGTAAATGACCGCGTCGAATTCGAAATTTGAATCAAGTACGTAATTTGTGTCTCCGCTGAAAGAACGCATTTCAAACCGCGGAGGAGGAGGAGGAGGATTTTACCGCCGTTCTTTTAAGTTGCATCTCAATACAACCCAAACCCCCGCGCGTATTTTTACTTCTGGCTGCACCGATTCAAATTCCTCGCATTTCTCTAGGCAATTCAGAGGATACAAGCCGTCGTCGACCAGTGGCAGGTCACCTCCAACAGTTGATCACTTTGCGTCGATATAAAACTGGAGGAACCGGGGGTTCGATTCCTCCCGACGGCATGGTCCCTCTCCGTTAATTTTTCTTTTTAGGAGGAAATCCCCGTGTCGAAATCGTATCAACTCCTAGTGTCTCCTCCGCCGACAGAACGAACGGAACGAACGCGATGTAACTAACGAAGGAATGCACTGCACCTGAATATCAACCCCGCCCCTCTTATAATAATTCCACTAAATTGAATGGATTCGTTCATCATGCACGGCACCCGTCCAAATTCCTCGCATTTCCCCAGGCGCAATTCAGAGGATACAAGCCGTCGTCGACCAGTGGCAGGTCACCTCCACCGTTTGATGAATGTTTGTCCGTAAACGGGAGGAGCCGGGGGTTCGACTCCCCCCGACGGCATTCTGCTCGTAATGTCCACCTTTTTCTTCGTCCGAAAAGTCTCTCTCTCTGTTCCGCACACAAATGCAAAGTCTAACCAAAATAAAATTACACCGGAGATTAATACTACAGTACACCGCTCGATAGTCGATAGTCGATACAAATTTATTCATGTCTCGTGTGCGCTACACCCGAGCTGCAGCGCCGACGCCTATGCGCTCACGCAGACCCGTGCCCGTGCCCGACGTGCATCTTCTCCTTCAGGCGCTGCATCAGCTTCGGCTTCTTCGTTTTCCTCTTTCCTCCTGCGTCTGCACCTGCACCTGCGCCGGTATCTGCACCGTCCTCGGCGTCACCGTCAGCGTCGTCAGAAGAGGTGGAGTTCGCGTCGGGCGTGTCGGAGGAGGCGTTCGGGTCGCCGGAGCGCATGACCTCGGGCGGCGTGTCGGCGGGCCAGAGGTCCTTCGGGTCGGACGAGTTGAGCGCCGCGGAGCCCAGCACGTTCGGTGCACCCGCATTCACAGCGGGGGAATAGGTGCCGGTGGCGGCCGAGTTCTGCGGTGCGTGCGGGCCCTCGCTCTGGCTCGTCGAGCTGAACGACGCGGGCTCGGCCGCGGCGGGGGAGAGCGGGGAGGGCGTCTCCACGGGCGCACCGCCGATGGAGGACGGCGTCTGCACGAGCGCGCTCTCGCTCGACGCGGCGTACCCGCTGTCCAGGCTCGGCGGCTGGCTGAGACTCGACGTCGACCCGTACGTGCCCGAGTGTTCAGCGGCGAGCGCGAGGTTCGTGGACGCCTGCGGCGTGAGGCTCGGCGGGGACGCCACGAACGCTACCTCCGCACCGTCCGCGACGCCGGGGTGCGAGGGGAGCAGGCCCGAGGCCGCGCGCACGGCGGGGGAGGGCGGGGCGACGGCGCCGATGGAGTGCCCCGTGTGCACGGCGGTGCTGACGTCCGTGTCCTCGCGGGCGGGCGTAGCCAAGTCGGTCGTGGAGTACGGCTCCGGTGCAGACGCGGTGTATGGAACCGAGGTGCCGTGCCCGACGTCGACCTGCGCATCGCCACGCGCGGGCGCAGACACGTCGACGGTGGAGTACGGCTCGGGCGCGGATTCGGTGTAGGGCACGGACGTGCCGTGCCCAACGTCGACGGCGGTGCTGGACTGGGTGTTGGAGGTGTGCAAATCCGACGTGGAGTACGGCTCGGGCGCGGATTCGGTGTAGGGCACAGACGCGCCGTGTCCGATGTCGACGGCGGTGCTGCTCTCCGTGTCGCGGCGCGAGAGGGATGCGTCTGACGGGGGTAACGGGGGGAGCGAGGACTCCACGGCGGAGTCTGTCGGCGCGGGAGTCGAGTCAGCTGCATAGAAAAAACAATGAGAACCACACTCGAGCGAGACAAGAGTTTGTAGAACACGCACGGAAGTACGCCGCAACGCCCTGTGGGAGGTACGCCTTCGCGCCCGACAGCGCGCGCGCCACGTCCGCCTGCGCGGGGAGGTACGCCTTGGCGCTCTCGAGTAGGCTCTCCTGCGCCTGCTTCATGTCCGTAGCGTCCCCAGGGCGATGTTCGTCGGCGAATGCGTTGGGGAAAGCACCGGGGACGTCGGGGCCAGGCGTGCCGACCGGCGTGCGGGTGACGTGCGCACCCAGGACGCCATTCGTGCTGTCTGCCCAGTCGCCGGCGGGCGTCTGCGGGAGCGCGTCCGAGGGGATCACCGGGACGAGGTTCGGGTGCATCGTGGTTGCCATCGTGCAAGAGTTTGGAATTATTTAGAGAGTAGTTGAGGATTCGTCGAGGTGGGGGTCGTAGATAGTGGAGACGCACGGCAGGCGCGCGCTTTTTATACGCGGGCGGTGGAGTGTAAGCCATGACGTGGGGCGATGATGAGCAGGTGGAGGACGCCGCAGCGAAACACGCGCAAGCACGCGTCATCCGAGGTTTCGAATCTCGCGGAGGCCATTATTCTTCCTCGTTTTGCCTCTGGCGTCGCAGTACTTCCCGCGTGGCCAAGCTCATTGCTAAAGTCTGGAGTTAATTGCAAGATCGTAATATTGATCGGTAGCCATACCGGTGCCGCGACTGGCGCATCCTGCGGCAAGACATCGCATGTGCAAGGAATGTCTTGCAAAAGCTCGACACACCGCTAGAGCGAAGGCTGACGAAGGAGGTCGACTATTGCACTGTAGGAGAAACATAACTCAAGTCGGCAAGGGACTAGGGAACTGAATGTGGTGCGACGACGCACCCGAGCTTATGTGGAGAGCACCCCATCTGCGCAGAGGCCTTTAGAGCCACGGAGGGGCAGTTGCGGGCCATCGTCGGCTCAAGATCAACGAGGATCGATACTAGCTTGCTCGCGATTCGGTGCCAGAATAGCGGTTGGCGGCAGGAGCTTGGACTCGAAGCATCTTGTTTGATCAGGCCATCACGCTCTTTACGCAGCTAGTGGAATGACCAGGAGGCATTAGCTCGCCCGGGGTGCTTTGAGGAGGACGGATATAGACTTTGGAAACGTTAGCGCACTTGCACGAGGGATTCAGATGATAACGCGCACCTGCATCGTGCATACCGCCTCGGGGTTCTAGCGCAACGTAAGATATCTATACTAGACTCCGGCGAAACGTAGACCCGGACTCCGCGGGCCCCTGGTAGATTGGAAGCTTCTCGGGACCGTAATACGCATGAGCAGAGAAAGAGGCGCGGGACCGAGGCTAGCGAAGGACTTGGCTTTGGAATCGGGGAGTAGAAGTCATAGTAAGGCGCTGGCCTTGAAAGACGCGTGAGGGAATTAACGGTCGCCAGCATGAAGTTCTGTTCCAAGGCCTCGGAAAGCACGCCGTCGCGAGTCAGTAGGGCAGTGCCGTTGTGGAGAGGTACACCTGGGACAAAGAAGGAGAGAGGAGGCAGACGTGTGTAGATAGTGTGAGAATCTTGCCAATTCTCCAGAGGTTTCGCGTTCTGGGAATTAAGAGCGAATCGCGGTGGTGGTTTGCTGCAAAAGGCCGAAGATGGCCTTGTTTGGCCCCGCACGGATCACGGTCCGAAAGCCGGCAGCCTGCGGCAAATTCAAAATTGGGACTCAGTTCAAAAGGAGTCTTGGTGGGAGCCATGGGGCCTTATCCGGGCTCTCTCAACGGGAGATAAGCCGCCATGGACCAAGGCAAGTCCCCCTCTTGCAGTCAGCATTCTATTAACGTTGAACGCACTAGGCGGAGGTTCGAATCCTCCCAATGGCATATAACAGTTCTCGAGAACTTTTTTGCGGGATAATCGATAGTTCCTGGTTCAAGCATCAACGAGGCTTTTAAACCTCCTGAGAAAGATTCCAATGCAGTCTTAAGTTCAGAGACGGACGCGTCCTCGATAGTATTCATTCATTGGACGCACTGCTACTCAGCTCGACTCGACTAATCAGGAGACACAAGGATCTATCTGGCGCTCCCCTGGGCAAATCAGCCGTCGTGTACCAAGGCAGGTCGGCCTCTTGCAGTACATTGTAATATGTAAGACAGCTTACGAGTGAACCGGGGTTCGAATCCTTCCAGGTTCGCCGTGGAATGTTTTGCCCCCGTCAATCCTGATAATTTTCTGGCGGTGTTGCAGCGGGCGGTTTTTCGCTGAGAATCCTCAATTCGACGTCCCGGGTGGTTAATGCGTTGAGTCAGTATTTTTTATTCTTCCCATGGGAACGCTGATTTATCGTGCTCTTTCCTTGGGAAACGAGTCGCTGTAGACCAACGCAGGTCGCCTTCTTGCGATGTTGAATGATGAAGACAGTTTGTGTACGAGGGAAGCAGAGGTTCGAATCCTCCCGGCGGCATGCTGTTTGTGGTCACTGGTAATGAGTTGCTTTTTTGTTTTTGTTGCGTAATTCATTTTCCCCCATAGCCATTGCGAAGATCAAGTCACGCCTCACGAATTTCAATAGACACTGGAGCACTGCTAAGCTTTCCACACAGATGCGTCCTCGCTCAAAGACCTACCGTCTGCCCGAATCCCACGGGGGGCTCAAGGTCATCTTCTCTGAACGAGCACTGGCAGGACATTATCGTACCCGGTGCACACTGTTATGTACCACTGGCAGAGCGATATGCATAAATCGATTCTAATATACGGTATATGTAGATGAAACTTTGCCACCCCTCCGAGATCCCTGCTCATTTATCTAGCCTCCAGTAATGAAGCCGTCGCCTAGATATACCGAATCCAATTGCAAGCCGAGGGACTCAAGTACAAGTCGGCTTGTTGCCAGCGCACCAATTGCTCGCAGCGCTACGAGAGCAACACTTGTAAGAGGAGATGCGCTTCTGCCACCCTCCACCACAAATCGCGTTAAAGTCGGCAATTGTACCGTCCACCTGAGCGGTGTGATCCCCTTGGCAGTTATAGCTCCTGTAAAAAGATAAGAGATACGAGCAGGGGGAAAGTGGGTATACTTACTCCCAAAAGACACAATTTCCTCCCGAAATTTGAGCGGAATGGGTTTGGTCGTTCGCGGAGGGGTCGACGTCAACTGTGGTGGGAGTGCTAAGTATCCACGGGAGAGATGAGGTGGATAGTACATACGGCACATGCCGTCCGATGGAGCTCCTGTGAAGCAACTGCCGGATAGACTAGTTCCAGTACAGTATTTGACCTGTGTAGCCAGTGTCGGAGACACAGAGACAAAGACGATTGCAAAGAGGGCGAGGAACTTCATTGAGATGATGATACTGCAGAGTCGCTCACTGCTCAGTTTTTATAGGTACCTCGCTGCGTGATTCCACGGTTTGAGCGGACTGCCATTGAATGCAATGCGGCGGGGCCAAGCCAGCTCCAGACCCGGCCTTCGGTGGGCTCGGGACACGCCAACTCGGCTGGACAGCCGTAGACCGCGACATACGATCGGGGAATTTCAATTGAATTGAATTATGTGCGCTTACATCGCCTGCGATCCTCGGGAGTGGGGCAGACTTTGGATAGGGCCGGCGCACAGTCGCACTTCTCTCAATGCTTCCGCCCAGTTGACCAGCTACCTTC